AAGATTGTGAAAATGTTTGTTAGCAATCTAACAAATAGATAACTAAGAGCTTGATAAAATGCTTGTTTTGTGATCAAAGAATAACTTATTTAATGACCCAATGCATTTATGTTAGGTTTTCTTTCTTTCTGAAATATAGATTTTAAAGATGAATATATTAATAGACGAATACATTTTATGAAAAATAATTAGGTTGTAGTGATTTAATTTTATTATTATTTTTACAACAGGATTTGTAATTAAAAAAAAGATTAAATTTGTTAAATTATGTCAATATTGATGAACAATTATATTATGATTGATAATCATGGTTACATGTGTTGGAGATGTGCATACTTCTACTTGGTGGAAACGCTGATTAAAATTGATCTGATCAAGTTTATTTGAATTTTTATTTGGAGATGTGCATACTTCTATGGTGGAAACCATGACTTGCAATTAGTACGGTTCGAATAGTTATAGATTATAATTTCCATGACTCCCTCATATATTCTGATATCACCCAAGTCCATATCATGCATCAAGATGGATTCCCGAGTATTGATGTTTCCATATTTTCCATGATCAAGATATTCCTGAGTTGTTGACATGGGTTTAACCTTGAATTTGAAATTTTATTTGGTTTGGATGTTCCAACAAGATAGGGATTTATATGATCAAGTCTACGAGTCAAACTCAGCTGCCTCAAAACTGCAAACTTGCTTATAACTTACCTCATCAGCCGCCAACACACTCAAGCTTGGTTTGGGACAATTTTTTCGCTATTTATTGAAGCAACTTTCTAGTACAAAAAGGAAAATTTTCGTACTAAAAAGGTTTTTTGAGAAGCAATAAGAAAGCCGTACCAAACGAAGCCTCAACCACCAATTGCTGACCTCAACGCAAGAACCTGATAAGAGCACATTCTACCTCTAGCTATTGTAGGAGAGGGAACTTAGATGTCTAATGCAGCTATCTATAATCCTCCTCTCATAAACATCTTAACTTAGACATTGATGACATTATTACTTCAGAGTGCTCCCTGCCATTTCCTTAGACAATACTGTATGAACTACTACCCATTGGCAATTCACATCATAATACATCATGTCAAAAGTGAATTAACCTTAGGTCTTTCCAACTCAAAGTAGTAAATGAGCAAAAATATCAAGATGTACAGCAAGAGGTAATTTTTACTGTTGCAGCTTTGTAGTATATCTGTATATTTCAGATAAAGTTAAGACGCAACCAATGCCTATCTACCTTTTGTCAATCTCTTCACTTGGATAAGAGTCTCCGTTTCTCTTGAACTTTCTTATACATAACCTAAAATATCTGTGTTTGTTATGCCGACTTCTAGAAACCAGCAACAATACTCTTTTAAATCACAACAACTTTTCCAGAAGCATCAAAAGATTAAATTTTTTAAGGATAAGGAGAAAGGTTAGAAAATAAAGGGATAACCTTTCCTTACAATCCGAAGAGAAAACGAAAATAGATAGAATTTTAACCTGAACTCCACCCTCGCCAAAACTGCATGGAACGACGATGGGGCCGACACTGGGCTTTTTGGAGGCGACGGGAACCTGCAAGCCAAATCCTTGCGCCGGCCGCCGCGAAACACTCCTGCCAGCAGGCACAGCCTTACCCTCGTGTTCTCCGGCGTACTTAAGGAATCCGAAAATTATGGCGATCCTCCGGAGGAATCCCATTGAATCCACCGAGTTTCTCAAAGGGGAGGAGCATCCGATAAAGGTTTCGAGCTGCTTTCTTCGTTTCTCTCCAATAGTAGCAGCTGTGGATTAAAAAACACTTCTTGATCCAGCTTATCTTAACCGATTGATTAAAAATTTAGTATTCCAAGTAAGAATCTGTTAAGACTTTTGTGCACAGTAGATGTAAGTTTATAATTAAATTCGGTTATAAGTTAAAAATTCTTATTATTTACATCTGGTCAAAATTAAAAAAGCTTTTAAAGAATATTTAAGCAAGTTAATATATTGAGCTAAGAAACTGAATCATGATATTCTTATATAATTTTTATCTTATATAGTTTTCATCATAAGGTTTAAAATTTAGTTTTTTTTTTTTTTTTTTTTTTTTTTTTTTTTTGCAATTTTAAAGCTTATGAGGTGAATGATGGAGCTAGAAATTGTTTTAATGGGAGTACAAAATTGTATAATTAAATTGAGGATTATTCAAATTATTATTTTAATAAACTTATGTTCGAAGTAAATGTCTCAATGAGATAGACACATAGGCATCATAAATGATTCTTTTTGAGCCCAAATGAAAATAGATCAAGGCTTGAGGCATATTAAAAATTGTCTTGTCAAACCCCTCAATTTGAATATAAGCATATAGGATTTGGATATTGGTTGATCATTCAACTATTTTTTTTTTTTAATATGCCTCAAGTATTTGATATGCTTTCATTTGGGCTCAAATCAAATCATTTTAAAATTTGATTTTTTTTTCTTGAGATTTCTCTGCATCCATTTATATGATTAATAATCATAATAATTAATTAAATATATATGATGCACATAAGAAGATTGCTCGATATGAGTAGCTATACTATAATAGAAAATTATGACTTTTTATCCCAAGTGATGTACCCGTTTAGATTAAGATTTCGTTTGTGATAGCTTTCTTATTGCTTTAAGCATTTTTTTTTTTAAATGTTACTTAAGTATACTTAAAATAGTTCATTAAAATTTTCTATTAGCTAAGAAAAAATGGTTTTTAGAGGAAATGGTACATTTAGATCAATTTTCTAAAAAGAACAAAATGAAACCAATAGATGGTCGAATTAGGCTCTAAAAAGAGTAGTCTTAATTTGAACAAGTCCACATTGGTCTAACTTTGGATTATGATTTGAATAATGTTTGAATAGGACTGCAAGCGAACCAAACGTTCGATGAGCTACTCGTTGTTCGGTTCGATTAAAGCTCGTTTGTGATTGTTTAATTAACTAAACAAACAAACTTGAACAATATTTTAAATACCCGATTCTTAAATAAACAAACTTGAACACTAATGTGTTCGGCTCATTTATGTTCGCGAACAACATCATTTGAAGTTCGTGAACAAGCTCGACATTAAGCTCGATAAGAAGCTCGATTCGTTTTCGATTTTGAACTCGTGAATAAGCTCAATAAAAATAATTAATATTTGAATATAAAATTAATAAATATAAATAATCATTGCCTTTGTTACATAGACAATTGCTTTTATTATAAATGTGTTTGTTCATAGATATGTTCATGAACGTATTTGTTTGATAGTTAAAAAAAAATTCGTTAAATATATTTGCGAACAAGCTCGATAAGCACTAAACGAACGAACATGAACTGAACATGAACCGAACATGAACACTGATTAATTTAAATGAACAAAACATGAACACAAATAATAAAACTCGAACAAACATGAACCCTAAACTTGAACGAACTGATATTAAATGAACACAAACATGAACACTCACATACTCAGCTCGGCTCGGTTCGTTTGCAGCCCTATGTTTGAACTTTATTCGTATCAGATTTAAACATTATTTGATCAAATTTGAATCATGTTATAACAAGCCATATTTGAACAAATTCAAATCTTATTATACTAAGAATGGACACTTGTTCCAATGCATTTTGATACAAATTCAAATGTTATATCCAACAATGGTCGAGTATATTCCAAGCAAGTATGAGAAAAAGTCAACTTTTCAAATAAGTTCATATTGGTCTAATATTCGAAAATTATTTGAACCTAATTTGAACCCTATTTGTTCAAGTTTGAATTTGGTTATAACAAATATGATGAGAATATTGCTTGAACAAGTTCAAATTTGATTATAATGAGGTTCAAATTGAAATGATAAGTAAATTAATTAAATTACTTTCTTTTTATCATCTTTACTTAAATTTAATTTAGCTCATTTTGTTCTATTGGGAATAAGTTTTTGTTACAAATTAAGAGGTCTTGAATTTATAATTAGCGTATGTGATGTATGTGTGAGTTTACCTTATTGACCTAAATGCCTTAAAAAAATTAAAATATAAAATTTATAAGAAAATAAAATACTATTTTGCTGAAAAAAAGATGCTCTCCGCACCGATGAAAAATTATTAGGTGCGGAGTGCACACCGTCCGCACAAGTACCCAGCGGTACCCATCGGTACCGAGTGGTACCTAGCTAGGTACCCAATACTTGTGCGGACGGTTCTCTCCGTCGGCACTCCGCACCTAATAATCTCTCCGCACTGAGAGGGCATCGCCGCATATTTTTCTCAAGAAAAGAAATGATCTTTTCATAAATATACGAGAAATTGAATTGCAATTCGTAACTTTACTTGTTTGACCCATTTGTTGAACAGAAAATACACTATCTTGGGTGCTATTTGGTTCGATGTAGGTGTAAAGCCAGTTCAATCAGGTAAAATAAGTCATTTCATTTAAAAAATATTAATATAATTTTATTTAAAACCATTTAAAATTTATATATTTTTTATTTTAAATAATTTATTAATATTTACAGATTAATTTTTCTATTTATCATGTTATTATAATATTTATTTAAATAAAAAATCATTTTCTTTCATAATAAATAATAAATAAATCAACTCATGAGCCACTGAAATTAAATTTGTGCTTGAACCTAAATAACTAATCAAGTTACAACTCAAGCTGAGAGTAACTCAAATTCAACTCGATTCATCTTAGTTATTTTAATTAAATTTATTTTTAAAATGTAGAGTAAATAAAAAACATGCATTTTAAAGTATTACATGTATTTGATTAAATGCAAATATAAAACATTAAAAATATGTACTTGTTATTTAAAATGCGACAATCAAAACTGGACGGTTTAGCTCTCCTTGATTCATTGGCTAGAAATTTAGCTCCCAACTAAGACGGCCTAGGTTCAAGTCTCGCATATACTATATGTTTGATCGCTGCCCTAAATTTCCCAAAAAAGAACAGGTGGCAAATCTTGATTAGATGCAACCCTAATTTTAAAATCATGTGATTTAAAGGAGAAATCATTGTTAAGACCACATGCAGAATGTCGATCGAAGACCAATCAGAATATGCAACATCAACAGTACCGAGCACATGAGTGACATAATGCATTCTGGTTGTTCTCCGAACGATGTTCAACGTTCGCACAAAAATAATTAATCGATTTGGAGATCTACAAATTCCTCAAAATTTTACTTTACATATCTTTTGCTTAATATCAAGCACCAACAAAAAACAAAAATGCAAAGAAATTAAAGACAATCTACCAATGCAACCAAATAAACAGCATCTTAATAAAGTGAATTTGCATCAAATATTGCAGCAGAAAAATTCCTTTTTCTTTGTTTTTTTTTTGGGAAAAGCCAATAAGATAGCAGCTCTTAGATATATTTGAACCTGCTACCACACAACAAAACAAAACCACCTCACAAAAACAAGTGCAGGTATACTCAAACATGTCAAATATGTAGAACAAATATAACAAATAAACACTCAGGCAAGTCAATCAAAGTTAAAAAAACATATCAGTCATAAGAGCAGCAGAAAAGAGAAGACTTATTGCTCCTTTTCATCATCAGGATAGTTGAAGGGCCCATAAATCACCTCCATATAGTGCTCGATGATCCTTACAGTGAGGCCTGGAAATCTATGTGGTGCCTTTGGGCGAAAATCCATCTTAACAAAAGGCCAGCGCATCCTCTCTGCTGCATCACATTCTTCCATTCCATCTCCAATCACGCAGAATCGCACCGAAGGCCCGCTGAAACGCTCTCGAATCCATGCGAAGCACTGCAGCTTTCCTACTTCCCAAGAGCTGTACACTGAGATACTTAACATTAATCAGCCCAAAGGGTTAACAAACTCCCCTAGAATCAAGCAACGAATTCTTAAATATAAGATAAGAAACCAACTCAGGCTTTGTTTGAGACGGCTTTTTTATTTCTTTCTAAAACGGAGTTTTAGTACAAAAATAAAAAATTTTGTACTAAAACTCCATTTTAGAAAGCAGTAAAAAAGCCATCCCAAACGAAGCCTCAAACTTCAGAAAGCAAAGGAATAGATAAGCAACATTAAATTCAAATAAAAATTTAACATTAATCAGCCCAAAGGGTTAACAAACTCCCCTAGAATCGAGCAACGAATTCTTAAATATAAGATAAGAAACCAACTCAAACTTCAGAAAGCAAAGGAATAGATAAGCAACATTAAATTCAAATAAAAATTCAGTTTGGGCTGACCAAACCCAAAAGCTCTTGAAAATTGGATAGGACTGGCCAATTCGACCATTTCAATCATGAACCAATCATAAAGCCGGTCCAGTCTATTATAAAAACCAGTTTCGCATTGAAACCGTCAAGTAATGAATCTAATGGACTTCATGAATAATTCCGTATTACAAGCCTATCTTCAATTTTGAACTTTATATTTATACCCCTCATGAAACATTTAATTAAAAAGGCAAGATATTCATTAAGAACCTATAAAACAAAACTTAGATAGTTGGCATAAAGCTGATGATGATGATAGTTATGATATATGTAGTAAAATATCTTGAGTTCATCCTAACAGGGAACACTGATTTTAGCATAGTATAAATGTATAATCCAAAACTAAGGTATCAATAATAATTGAGTAATTAATTTAAGAGTTCTTAATTTAGTGTTTTTAAGTGAAGTTCAGCAACCCATTTGAGTTTGCCACCCATATGCAACTAGCTTCTCATGCAGTAACTTCAAAGTGAAATTCAGTTGCATGGGGTTGTTACCTAGCCTCATGGCACTTGGCAGATAAGAAATCGAGGGAAAAAAAGGAAGTCAACCCTGCTGCTGATGCTCTTCATGGATTGTATCCAATAAGAGAAAGAAAAGGGATGATGAGGGCCAATTTTTGGAGAAAGTAAAATATGATAATACTGGTGACATATATAGTGAAGTTAGATTGATGAAAGCTTTCATTTCCATCAAAAATTAACGATTTTAAGATCAAACCAATTTTACTTTCACTTCAATGTGACAATACTCATGCAATGAGTAGACATAAAGACTTCATTACATCCTATCATATGCAACAATAGTGCAAGTAGTTTGTTAAACCCGTAAGACCATATCAAAATAGCATGTATTTCTCCTGATTTAATGGCAGAAGATTTAATTCGCTGGAAATGATAGGGATAATCTTATGATAGGTTGATGCCTTGATGGGAAGTTTTTAACCCTCACAAGTTTGAGTGTCATAAATTAGCTGCAATCTTATCAGCAACTCAACAACAACCCATTAGAAGTAAAAGCTGCCTAATAAGACCAATAAGGTAAATTTAAAACTAATTTACATGAAATAAATGAAATCATAAAGTAAATCTTATCAATTACAGAAATATAAATGCAGGGTTATGGAAAGTGTAATTATAAAAATATCTCTCATTCTGAAAAACAATTGCACAAAGTTAAATACTTCAAAAGCGAAATAAACTAATGAGAACAAGTAGTAAAGGATGCTAACCATTTTCATAAACTATATGATCATCCAAATGAAAGAGCATGCACTTGACGAGACTTGGAATTAGGGATCCAGACGTAACCAATACATTGATGTCTTTGCATTTCATATCCATGTTATCATATGTATTTTCAGATGATGAAGGCTGAGAAGCATCGGTTTTATTTCTGCCAGAAGTTTGTTCCAGTAAAGCACGTGCTGCAATATAACAGAAGCAGACTTGAAAGATCAAATGTTACATACTTCGAGGTTCCTGTCCTTAGTTGAGATCAACATCTTACGTCACTAATAGTTCTCCAAAAAAGTCTCTTACAGCTCTCATGAAACTATCTAGGGAAACTTTAAAATAATACTATGAAAACTAATGTGAACCAGAACTGGAACGAAACAATAACTACATAAATTCACTAATAAGCAAGCAGCCACAGCCTTACAGTATTTGTCGAGTTTGAATTGCTTTATTACTTTGGAAACAATATATTACTTCCACTGTAATGGGGATTATAGTACTAAGAGTTCAATTGTTATGATCAATATCCATTTTATAGTATTCCTTATGATTTGAATTCATTCATAAGATTTTCTTCAAAGATGCTTTAAGTCCATCACTTGGACTTTCATTTGATGCTAAACCAACAGATGTGGAGTCGCAAATTATAAGTAAACAAAGATTATAAGAACGTTGAAAGATAAAACATAATATGAAGTTTAGTTTACTTAAATATTTGCAAGTCAACCAAACATGAACTCTTCAAAAAATTGCAGAAGCGAACTTATGATGAGTGTTTGATCTGGTTAAAATACACAGAGGAATCAACGAGTATACAATTGATTTGATATGGACTCAAGAGCTAATTGCAACCAAGCATATCAAGGGTATTGCCAGAATAATCCGAATTGTAGTGAGAGCAGTCATAAATTCCGGTAACCAACCACATATTTACAAGTAGTTATCTGAGGATATCCATCAGCTCTTAAAATACTTGACCGCATAACTAATCACATTTTAGAGATGATCAACGACATAGGTAAAGGGATAAGAGAAATATGTTCACATCTTGCATAAAAAAAATAATAAGCAATTTTGCCTTGTCAATAGTTTATTCCACCTTCACGCTTTCAATAAATTGCTTCAAACTCTTTTTAAGACCACTAGGAGTGTTAATAAATGCTACTACATAGTCTTGACTTAAAAATCTATTCTCATATTGATCCGATTGAATTTTAAATAAAGTGTGGATTTGCAATATTGACTCGATTAATTTTTGGATCGGGTCGGACAGAAGCCTAGTATATATTAAAGTTATTAAGGAAATGTATGTAGGAGCTTTAACTTGTGTTCAAACACAAGGTGGTTTGACCAAGTATTCATATTTCAATTGGATTACATCAAAGATCAGCTTTAAGCCTATATCTTTTTGCTTTAGTCATTGATGTTCTTACTAGACTTTTGCAAGAGGATGTACTATGGTGTATGTTTTTTGCTAATGATATTCTTCTTGTTGATAAGACTAGAGAGGAAGTTGAAGGAAACTTAAATTGTGGATGTCAAACTTAGAGTATTAAGGTTTTCATTTAAGTAAATCTAAATCGAATACATAGACTAATATTTTTGTAGTAATAAATCTAGTGAGATGATTGAAATTTTAGGCGATCAAGCCATTAAAAAAAGTATATGTTTCAAAATGATGGTAAAATAAATGAGAATATTATTAGTATAATTCAAGCTGGATGGTTGAAGTTGAGGAATGCATCGGGTCTGTTGTGTGATAGGAAAGTATCCCTCAAATTTAAGGGAAAATTCTATAAGATGATGGTGAGACCAACAATGCTTTATGGAGCAAAATGTTGGTCATTAAAAGAGAAGCATAAAATTAAGTTAAATGTTGAATAAATGAGGATGCACATTTGGATGAGTGGCTTTACTCTTAAAGATAGAATGTGAAATGAGTATATACATGAAAAGGTTGGAGTAGCTCCAGCGGCGAATAAGATTATGGAGAGTTTCCTTAGATGTACTGGTCACAAAATGTCGACCTTTCAATGACCCGGTTAGGATAGTAGATGTATAAGATCCAATCTATGTTAAAAAAGGTAGAGGTGGACCTAAAAATCTTGGTTATAAAGTATTAGATATGACATTTTTTTATTACATTTAAATGAGAATTTAACTCTTAATAGGACACAATGGAAAAAAATGATCCATGAAGCCGACCCCACGTAGTGGGATAAATGCTTGATTTATTGTTGTTGGGTCGGACGGAAGCCAAAAATTGACATAGTTAATATCCAGGTTTGGGTTAAACAAGTTGTGCTCGGGTTAAATAGTTAGTGGTCAATTTCAACGGGACATGTTTAAGTTAATTGGGTCATGTTGATCCAAAAAAAGTGCATGACTCATATAATAAACAAGTTAAACGAGTCATGTTGGGATGAGGCAGATTCAAGTCTAGTCAAATTCAATTCAAACATTTTTACCCATATAATAAACAAGTTGGATTCAAGTCATATTGAATTAAGTCAAGTAAAATCAAGTCAGGTCAGGTGGATTCGACTCAAACCCGAACCCTAAACGTTAACCCGAATTAACAAACCTAAGATCAACAATATGGTTCATTTGTGACTAATTTGAATTGTTCTAAATAAGAAATGCCCACTTTCTACCTTGATATACAGATGTCACCATGTTCATCTTCTTAGAATAAAATCATGTTAGCCTCCAACTCCATCTAAGAAAATCGATTGTTTTATGACCCTTATAAGCAGCACAATCTGAAAGATGAACGATTTCAAAAACAAATGCTATTGCAATTCTCAAAATCTATACTAGCCGAAAATGCAGAGTATTCACGTTGAGATGAGCAAATTAATATTCTGGGTATGAATTTTACATTAATTTATGTAATTTTATTTTAATAGTTATATCCTTTAGTAGTTTAGTTTTTCTCTTTATATGTGATTATCACTAAGCAAAATGAGTGGTCTTCTCTTCCCTAAATTGATTCTCTGTTATGTCCTCTGTCCAGTTCTAGCCTACAGTTGTTTTTATATTGGTGTGCAATCAATCCTTCAATTGAGCTATTCTTCTTCGTTTATTGGTTATAGGTTAGCATGCTTTTGGGCCTTCAATTGGGATGTTGATCAATTCTATAGTTGTTTGGTCTTATCCTGTTGGACCGTAAATTAACCCTGTTGATTTGGTTCTTTGGGTGTTGTAGCAAGTCATGATTTGTCACTCCTTGTGTGTTTTGCTGTCACATATATTGATAATAGGATTTATTAGCTGCAAAATTTCACTGACTTTTGGGTTTGAACCAAGGTTTTAAAAATTGAATTGGACTAGTCGGTTCAACCAATTCAATCGAGAATTGGTCGAGTGGCCGGTCCGGTCAAACTATTAAAGCTTCTTTGCAATCGAACCAGATAAAAAACATCTGAATCGCCAGTTGAACTGAGAAACAAGCGAACTAACCACGTTTCGAAGAACTGGCCGGTTCAAAATGCCATGAATCTGAGCAGTTGATCGTAAATCCACGGGTTAAAATTTAACTTTGGAATAACCTAATTAAATAAACTTTAGTAAAACTAAAACCCTAACTCAAAATGAGTTATTTCCTCTCCCATATCACGAGTCGCGACCCTCTCCCGTTCCAATTTCTCGAGTTTCTTCCCTCCGTTGAATTAGTCGCATTCCGTTGTAGACTCGCCCAGTCGATTGCATTATCGTTCAGCTCGTGCAATCATGCTTCCTTTGTCAGCCGACCTTTTGCTTTGTAAGATTTGAGATTTCTTCAACAAACTTGAAGTTGTAATCATTCCTTTAAATAGCTGTTGTACATTAATATTTGTAGTGGATGGGATTATTACACCAACTTCTGTTGTGGTGGTTATCAAATATCTGTGGTCAGTGCTTAGATTGCTTATGTAGTTTTTGTATTAGCAAGTTCTAATCATTCATGACTGAAAAGCTTAATCTGGAAAATCAGTGCTGAGTGTTTCCTGGTAGAGTTATTTGTATGATATTAAGTTCTTTCCTGCTCAGAAATTCTTGTAGGCAAGTAACAGCTTCAAATAAAATCTAATCTTACAAAAGTTTGACAGTTAAGCTGTTGTAAGTAGTTGGTGAAGCAATAGTAAATAGTGCTCTCTTTGACTGCTAATGTTATTAATTGTGATATATCAACAGCACGAAGTGAGTCTCGGTTAATCTTATCATCATCATAATTACTTTATTCCAACTATTTGATGTAGGATTTACCTATTCTTTTCTCTATTCATTTCTATCAAGTGTTGCATGTGATTGATCACTCAAAAAAGCCAAATATTTCCCTCGAGAGCCTCTTTATGCTAAGTAAAGAACTTGAGAGTAGTCTTTTCCGGAGGTAGATTAATTTTGTTTAAATCAGATTTTTCATATGTTGTGCCATGGTTTATTTAGAGTTTGGGTAGAGATTTCTTATAGGCGCCCCCATAGTTAATAAAAAATATTAAACACATAAGCTAAGCTATTCATCTTAGAATCTTAAGTAAATATATGATATACATTAAAACCCACAAGAAGAACAAAGTAGGAGGTTTTGTTGAGCCTTCTAGTTAGCAAAACACTTTTCCCATCATTATATTAACTCAAATCGTTTTATGCTATCTTTTTTTTTTTTTCTTATTTATAGCTTTAACAAAGCTGATGGGAAAGCTACTTCTCTTTCAGGGGTATGTTGTTTATTTTACACATTTCATCATACTGCTTTGTTTCTTTCTATGGTTGTGGTTTCGATGAGTTTCTAGCTTTATTTCTTTCTCTATGATAGATTTCAAAAATTGCATGAGCCTTTCTCGCTTGTGCTATAGAATCTAAATGCCAATCTTAGTATAGGAAAAAGATGATTTGATGCCTCATAATAGCGAAAATTGAAAATTTCTTAGCTAAACCAAATTTTTTTTTCAAAAATAAAGTCTATTATTTAATTGCTTTAGAATGGATCCCCCAACAAATAAGTCAATAACTTCAGCTCATAGTGTGCATGAGACATTGCTTGGAATCACTGCATTGAGTTTAAAGGATCTGATAGAAAGAAATAATTTAAATGTCTATATTGTGGGATTTCTTACAAAGATGGATGCATTAATAAGATGAAACAACACCTAGTAGGAATTAGACGCAATATTGCTTCTTGCAAAAAAAATCTCACATGACATCCATCATGAGAGGCAAGAGAATTTAAAAAAAGTATTTAAAAAAATAACAAATACAATAGAAGTTGGAGCAGAATACACCTATGTTTGTTGATGATCCTACAGATGAAAATAAGGGACTCATCACTTCCTAAGTCATAGTATTCAATACACACCATAAATAGATTCATAAAAGAAAGAGGAAGATACATGAGATAAAAAACTTTTTTGCACCAAGAACCAAACCAGGATCCCAGCTTTCCTTGAAAAGTGTCATGACATCAAAAGATGTTATACACTGTGCTTATTTGGTCATGGCGAGGTGGTTTTACAATAGTTGTATTTTGTTTAATGTTTTAAACTCTACCTTTGCATAGAAGACTATTGATGCTATAGCTACTATTGGACTTGGGTACAAAAGATAACCGTCATATTATATATTGAGAATTAATCATTTGAGGGATTGTAAAGAGGAATGCAAGCTATTGATTGACTCATACAGAAGAATATGGAATGAAATAGGTTGCACATTGATGACTGATGGTTGGATAAATAACAGAAATAGGGCATTGATAAATTGTATTGTGTATTGTCTAGGGGGTATCATTTTTTTAAATTTTGTTGATTCTTCCAAAATTACTAAAGATGCAACCACTTTGCGTTGTTTATTTTGTAAAGTTTTGGAATGAGTTGGTCCAAAGAATATTGTGCAGCTGGTAATTGATAATGCAACAAATTATAAAAAATTAAACCATACAAGAATATAGAGGCTGATGAAACCTAAAATGACTCGTGACAGCTAGAACTAGAGTTTGGAAACAAAAAAAATGTCCCATTACCAGAGGAAAGCCATCCATCCGTATAGATATCGGTCAATTTATATAGATCATCCCATTGCTTGATCATGTTGTGATCCAGTACATTATGCAAACCCTGTAATAACCAAAAGAAAACATTTTTTAGGTTCTAGTATCTGAGACCAAAAATCAGCTTTAGCTTGAATACAGGGAATGCAGATCACGGTGCTCCTGCAAGAATTTATTTATAAAATAAATACAAAAAAAAAAAAAACAGATTTTTGGATTCAGACATTGGAAACAAACAGAGGATAAAAACCAGCCAGATAAAACAACCAAGAACAAGTTGAAGCCAGATTGCTACCCTTCAGATTCTCGCGTTGAATAAGCCATCAATAAAAATACAAGGGATAAAAAAACAGTAAGTTCTCATGCAAGAACTATTGCACTGGTTAAATCTAGTATTTCTCAATGTGGGAGCGTGCAGAGCTTTGAAGTTAAAGTTTAATTTAAAGCATTTGCTCTATCAAAAACTAATTTTCATGCAAAACAAAACGAGATCTGAATCCAAAATTTTTCACTCATTGAGCCACCAATCATAAGCAAATTGCAGTTTCCTATTGTATGGAATTAATAGTGTGACTGGTATTTTATGAATTTCATCATGTATATTGTAACAACCCAAAAATAAAAAGTATTTTAAAGGATAAATTTTTGAATTTCTGTTTGAACTAGAGTGCTTTGGTGCTATGCTTGTGAGCGCTATGGTGCTAGGGTTGAGAGCACAAACTAAAAATTGCCGCTGCAACATTTAAGTCTCTGTTCTACAGTAATTATAGATTCGGCATGCAGTGTTGCGATGCTAGACCACTAAGAGTATATTTATATCTATTTTATTCTAAATATCTATACCATATCATCCCACCGCCTCCCTTACTCTTTGCTTGGCCATGAAGAAACCGAAGAAGGGAGAGAAAGAATAGAGAGAAGAGGAGAGAGAAAGGTCATCGGGTGATTTTCGTCCGTCTTTTCTTTTACAAAAACTATTCTAAGCATAGTAAGTAACTATCATCTTACTTCTTTTCTCGATGATTTTGATTTATAACAAGGTTTTAAAAAAACAAAATCGGGAATCGAGGCATTTTGCCTTAGTAAGGCGAGGCGTAAGCCTCAAAACAGAAAAATTAAAAATACATGAACTTACAAATAATTCATAAAAATGACAAAAATAAAATAAAACATCAACATATATGTTGAATCATTATAAATATATAAACTACAAATATCAATATTAAATGTTATCATAAAAATAAAAATTTGAAATGAGATTCAAAATAAATACTCATTTAAAATTTAAATATAAAATTTAAATACACCATAAAGATTAGAATCCACGGCAGCCTCATTCTTACTTTCATATTCTTCATTATAGCCCTAATATGTAATAATTGTATCATTCTAGAATTCCAACTCATTGTCATCTTCTAAACATTCTTCAATTATAACATTTTTTTTAACTCCTATATTAATTAACATTGGATTCAATGTAATACAAAACAAAAAACATATTAATAACACAAAAAAGTAATCCATTATATTTAATTCACCATTTGATATATATATTTTTAAGCTTAAACTCCATTTTGCTACTTTCTTTATATTATTTGTGAAGTAAAAGGTATAAATGTATTATCAATTCAGTAATCATTTTAATTTTAGCACTAATATTTTTATTCTTCTTCTCATCAAATGCATTCCTCCATTTTTCAATTTTAAATATTTTACTATTTTTTACTATTATACATTCCTCATTAGAAAATATATCATTAACAACCAAATGATTTATTTTATCATCACCAATTTCGCCTCTACAATTTGAAGTTTTTATCTTTCAAATTTTTATTAAATATAAAACAATCATTCAACCTTGTTTTTTGTCGTCTTGTAGCCATGACTAAAGTAAAAAGATATGGGCTTAAGGCTGATCCTTGATGTAACCCAACCGAAATAGGAAAATACTTGGTCAATCCACCTTGTGTTTGAACACAAGTAATAGCTCCTGAATAAAATAAAGTATATATAGTATTAATAATAAAACATAATAAAAAATTATAAAACTTAACTATAATGAGGCACTGCCTTGAAACGCCTCGAGGCGTTAAGCCTCAAGGCTTGCGCCTCATTTAAAAAAGATGTAGGCCACACTAAGACTAGCAAGGCTTAAGCCTTAGGAGCTTGTTAAGCACGCCTCAATTCGAGGCAGGCATCAACGCATGTGCCTCAAACGATTTTTTTAAACTATGATTTCTACGAATTTTCTCTCCTATACCTGCCAATAAAATGTATTTATCTCCTGATTTTGTAAGTTTTCATCGTATAACTTTTTGATATTTTATACATTTGGTCATTCTAAACAAATTGATATGATTTTATTACATTTTCACTAATTAAATATATGCATAAGAAATTCTAGAAAAAATTAGGGAAAAATGCAGACTTGAAATGGGTTGAAAAAGTGTTGATTGTGATTTGACATGATAAGACTGCAATGTAATATGTACTAAAATGATTGATATAATTGTGTTGTGCAAGAATGTAATATTGTTACTAACCTGAATCTAATATAATGTAAGAATATGATATATTATTTAATATCAGATATATAATATGATAATCTCATGTGATAACCTTAAGATCCACGTCATCTACTGACAGGAGTCGATGGATGGGGGTCATAAGGAGCTGAAAACTAATTGGGAGTTATAAGGAGTACACTAATTGGGAGTCATGATAGACGACTGATTGGTGGTCATAAGTGCAGGAGCAAGATATCCTCAATATACCATCATCTAAATATCTGATAGATATTGATTATTGATTCACTAATACTGATTACTAATTCACTGATTACCAATTACTACTATAATATTGTATAACTAATAGACTGCCGAGAACATTGAATGAAACTGACTGTATGATAAAGACATAATGATTAATTGATCCAGGTGACCGGTATTGATAGCATATATATTGATTCATAGATTTTCATATATGATTCAAAGCATACTGTTCACTTTTCATTGCATTGATTTAAATTGTAAGATTTTAGTTGTTTGTTGGGCTTTTGTATTCATTATGTAGTTTTACATGATGTCAGGTAAAGGTAAGGAGCCTGCAGCTTGAGGCTAGGCAATGATGTTAGTGTATTTTTATTTCAGTTCCTCTGGCTTACGCATATTCTTTTGTAGCCGATGAAGGCTATTGTATATATTATTTTGGACCCTAGAGACAATGTATTATTGATTATAGTGGAATGTGAATTATATTTTTATGTTGTTTATATTTCTTTGATGTAATTAATCAGCTCTGCATGTCAAATTGATTTGGTTGTAAATAACTATTGACTGTTATTGAGAAATAAGAAAGAAATAAATCAATGAAAAGATAAAAAGAAAAGAAATTCTTTTACTTTAAATCACAAGGCGTGACACAAATACATGAACAAAGCAAATAATTAAGAAATGCAATATAAGATACTATAAGCAACTTCAAAAATAAAAGATTTGAAAGGTACAGAGAGAAACAATATATTTAATGACAGTTTCTGTAAAACGATAGTTTATGATACTTCTTTAAAACCTCTCTAAATGTGACATCTAAGTAGAGCTCTTAGAGAGAAAACTTAGTTTCAGAGTCACAGAAAGATGGATTAAGATGTCGACAAAGCAAAAGTTAAGTTTTGCCTCAATTAAGTCAATAGCACCCTAACATACTTCCAAAAATTTTTGTGAGTTACATGCTTAGAAAGGAACCTATTGATGAAAAAAAGCATTCAGACCACCAAAATGTCAAAACCAATTTTTCTAAATTATAGCCTCAACATTTGATACTAAAATCTGCTAATCTACACCTCCACACCTACTTTGATGCATGTCTCTCTTTCATTTCCAGTGCACACAGTCAGAAAATTTCACCTGCTTCATGCTGATGAATCCTTCCCCCCACCATCATCATTATTAAACAACACCATAGCTAGCAATTTCTAAAGCCCGAACATTTGCATTTTTCATAAATAAGGCCTCCAACTTCGTATAATTAGTCAGAAACCCTGTCCTCTTATAAATCATTGGCTTTGTTATAGACCACAACAAAGCGGTAAATTCAGTTTCATATTCATACCCTTTTGGCCACAAATGAGTATTCTGACATCAATTCCAACTAGGATGTCGACACTGGTCATGCTAACTAATTGGCTCTCTCCATCACCTGATTAATCCCCCTCCCCCGCCCACCAAAACACCGCATAAACACCTCACCAACAAAAGATAAAGTGAATGATCAGAAAATAAAATCAAAAGAGCATAAACCAAAACCATAATGGGTGGGTGCTTCTAGTGACGGAGAGAGACGGCCATAAATGTGGTAATTATCAGTAAAGGATGTGGAGAGGGTAATAGATTTGTTGTTGATGTCAAAAGATGCCAGATGTGAGGAAATAAACAAATTTTCTTTAAAATAAAATAAAAAGAGAAGGCAAAAAGTAAGATGGGTACCAAAAGCCAAAATAAGCCTTTGTTTAACACAGCCAAATATCTATCACTAGGCATGCAAGCTTTCAAATTTTATTGCATACGTTGGTGGATTATGCATGCCAGGTTACCCGCCTAAGCATGATAACAAGGCACCAAAGAATATGTTAACTAAGTGGATTGGCTTAATCTTGTGTATGAAGAAAGGATGCAGACAAGTGAAAAGTAGCGTGATCTCACCATTAACAAATCATAAGAAATTTGATGGGAAAGTAATCTCATCACCGCTAGCTGTTAGTTGACCACCTACCCAAACATTTGATAATATTTTATTAAGAAAAGATATGCACTAATGCATCATATGGGGAACTCTTAACAAGGAAAAAATTTGACAAAGCAGACAAATTTGAACATGAACTATAAAAAAACTAAAAAATATAAACAGCATATCAAGAGGTCATTATAATCAATACACACAATAGAAAGAAGCATTTAACTTACAAAACCAAAACCCCCACAGGGCGATAGGTATCTACTATCAGCACCTTTGAGTATTTGTTTGCTATGGCACGGTGCCTGTATGCAAGTTTCCTTTTGTTGGAGTCATCACAAGGAAACGTTAAGCCATCGTCATTGAAGTTATAGTCAGAAAGGTCTTTCCCATCATCAAATTCATTCAAAGATAAGAGAAATGGTTCATTGTAATCTTCAATCTGTCAGTTGACATAAGCCCATAGACGTTACATAATAATCAACATCAATAGCCTTATCACAAAAAACAGCAAAAATACTCACGCTAAAAATACACGTGACTAATAATCTATATGAATTAATAATTTCTTCTTAATTATAGAAAATAGCTCACATCTATAATTTAAAGAATAAGGGACAAACGTTAATATATAAGAAATCAATTATTACTATTTTGAGGAATACCTAAATAAATTATTTTTGTATATTTGAAAACTTCGTTTATATCCCTTCATTATTTGCAAGAAAACTAAATAAATTACTTTTTATATTTCTTCTAAAATGAGAGATTGCAGTTTCAACTCAAACATAAATTGAGCATGCTTACATAAGAGAACACGAGTAATTTAGTTCAATCACACATATATTCAAGCTCTATAACTTCTTGATTTAAGAACTACGTTATTGAAAAAAAATATTCCAGAGAAGAAGAATTAAAAATTCAATTAAATATTTAACTTGATGTTGTTTTTAAAAAATAATTTTATTTTATCAAATTGGTAATGACAACTAATTAAGTGTTAGTTAATTTTTCAAAACTAATGATGTTCTATTGCTATTGTTTCTATGAATTTGAGATAAGTTTAATTTTAAAATGTCTACAATTAGTTATTCTTAAACTTGATTTATACCAATAATTACTTGCAGTAGGAATAGGTGTTATAATAAACAAACCTCAAAGTGCAGTAGATATTTTTTAAAAGAATGGAAAAGGCGGGTTAACTAAGTAAATTAATTTCTATCTCTCTTCCTAATTGAAAACTTACTATTTCAACTCAAACATAAATTGAATATGATGGCATAAAAGTAGGAAAAAAGTATTAAATTTAATAAAATGCAGCTTTAATAAGTATATTAATGAAAAAAATATCCAAGATAAGAATCATCAAAATTTCAATAAAATTTTTAATTTAATGTAATTCTTAAAATGAATTTTGTTTTATTAAATTGTTAATGATAAAATAGTAAGAATTCGTTAATTTTACTAAACAAAGAATAACTCACAAATTAAATATGATTACCTGAAAGCGTGGTTTTAATTTGATTCAATCATGCATATGTATAAATTTTATAAATTCTCATTTTACAAATATATTATTGTAAAAAAATCAAGAAAAGAATAATTAAAATTCAATAACAAAAAGTAATTTTATGCTATTTTTTAATGAACTTTTTATTAAATTGGTAATAGTAGACTTGAGTATTAGTTAGCTTTAACTAAACAATGGTAAGCTTTGTTGCTAACTTGCTATTGTTTTTTTGAATTTGAGTGAAATTCAATTAGCAAGTGCCAATAGTCAGATATAAGTAAATTTGATTTATATCATATCATATCACTATTTATGGTTTACGAAATTTGTCATCATTAACATTTCAACAGTCCAGGGAGTTTCTCATTTTTTTTTAAACAGGATAAGATTTTTAATTACCTTATGTCAACGAAAAATTCACTACCAAATTTCCTTGATTTAAGATGTGCTCAATTTTTCCAGCGGGATTGCAATAACCTTTAATAATTGAATTTTTTAAAAGAATTTAAAATAGCAAATAGAAGGCAGAAACATAAGAATATAAGATGTAACTATTTTTTTATTGGCTGGGTTATCATGTAGCGAATATAAAAAATTTGCAATAATTTTAAATAGCATGGTGAGTGAAGAGTAAGGAAATTTATTTTAATCAAGGGATAGGATTTTGTACGAGTGAAATCACAGGCAGCTTTTAATAGTAGCGTAGTCTAGCTTTGGGGCTTTTAATAGTAGTAGTCTAGCTTTGGGGCCTGTTTGATGAATCTTCTTTCATTTATGCCCACTAACTTTATTTTGTATATATCTATATTGATATTACATATTATCATCATTCTGATGAAACTATCGTAAGACAATAAAGTTGAGCAACCTCTAATATTCGTAATCCAAACATTACACACTTGATCATGCCTAAGATAATTCTCTTGATTAAGTAAAAAGATGGTGTGAAGAAGAGTATTTGTATGCAATTTTTTTTTTGTGGAATAAGACAAATTTTCATTATAATTCAATTTCTTCTCATCTCTCAAATAAATGCAGTCAAAATACTAATGTCATTATAACCACATTTAGTTAGCATGCATTTAACTTACATTATATTTCTAATAGAGTACATGGCCCATAAAAAAGAGAATTTGGGTTCAATATACATATCTTAAGGAAATAGAGAGAAGCATACCCTATACAAACCATGTATACCATAAGCTTAATGGATAGCAAAATTATAGGAAGGGATGCTAACCTTCCTGGGCAAAAAGTCATTAGATGTGCCTAGCCATTAGCAAAGCAATTAATCTCCAAAATTAAAGGGTATCGTGTTTGTTGAAATCAGATATTATGTATTGAACAATCGAGGCACAAGAATAAGTAGCCAGAGAATTGCAGCACCAATAAATGTCTAAGAAAAATCACACGGAAGCCATCATCGATGAAATGAAGCGAGTAAGAAGAAAATGGGTCTAAACTACGTACCTGTTCATAGAAGAAATGGTCATCACAGACTTGAAGAATTTGCTTTTCCCAACGTTTCCCAATTTCTAATCCTTTACTGGAGTCTTTTGAACCACCAAAGGCCTGCATATATGCACCATTTAGTAATGACTTCAGCAGTATTAATGTCTCATCCATGTCCCATATATATACATTTGTTGGCCTATTCTTTCTTGCAACAGTGGAAGGCTCCATGGTTATAGAACAATGAGTAGAAGAACCATCAGAGACGTTATTCATCACACAATTTACAGAGCTACGAATCACCAACTTTACCGTCTGTCAAGAAGAATGTCTAAATTCAGCTGAAGAGAGCTCAGAACTTGTTTTTTGCAAGTGATTAGAAAAAGTAATTAAAAACAGAACTCGAATAGAGTAAGGAAAATAGAAACCAAATATAGGCTTATTTTGTTATATTAGCTTAAGCATAATTCACATTGCATCTGTGGCGTATCCCAAAGCTGGATAACTTGAGCTTTCTGGACCCCAAGGTTCATGCTCCCGGGAAAAAACAGAATCTAACTAGAATATGAACATGTAAGTGAGCGGGGAAAAAAAGAAATCAAAACTATAAATTTGGGGGAAATAATCTTGAATCGTTTGAATCGTTGAAATTGCATTATATGATAACGGCTCATAAGTAGTATCTACTACTGAATATGAACATATAATGGCATCAAAAGTACTTCAAGAAAAAGAAGACCTTAGCATCTACAACTAGAATATGAACATGTAAGCAATTTTATTGAGTTGCGACTAATGGCACGTGGAAGAAATAATCATCTTTCCATAAAAAAAGGATAGAATGAATTGAACCGCAACAACATGCTCATGCTCAACAACAACATGCTCATGCTCCTTCCGGATAAAAATATTAGTCTCATAGGCATTTTAATCACATGAAATGAAAGTATGAAACACATCAAGGACTACAGGAAGAGTCATCATGGTTTAAGACAATGTAGGCAATGCACACTAAAATGGAGAGTTTGAGGATCATTTTCACCATCCTTCTCCTCTTTAAGCAGTAATAGTTGTTGGAAAAGAATTCATATTTTTATTGAATATCAGTGCCTATAAATAGGCATATAAGGAAAAAAAAAAAAAGATGAAGGAATAAAGAGGCGCATAAATAGGCAATTAAAATGATATAAAAGTGTCCTTTCCATAGATAGAATTTTTAATATAATGATTTTCCTGCAATAGCACACTCCTTCAAGACGGAGCGTATATATCAATAAGTTCCAACTTGTTAAAAAAAAATCGAAGGCCAAAGATCTATAGAAAAAATTTGCGATTGTTCTTAACTAAAGATGTGAAGACTTCTTTAACAATTTTACATCTTTGATGAACTGGTAGACTACTTCAATGTGATTGATTCTTTATGAAAAATATGATTGTTTGCAATATGATAATTATTTTATTATCACAAACTCAAAGTTAAAGATCATAGGTTGTGTGATAAGAAAATTAACATCTTTTACAAGAATTATAATCCACATACATTATTTCAAAAGTAAAATATGAAATAGGTATATATTCAACTTGGGCACTTGAACTAGCTACAACCATATAATTCTTATTTTTTTAGATACAAAATTTCTGCCCACAAAGACAGTATAGAGGTGTAGATTTTTTATCCAAAATAAATCATGTATACTTAAATCAAAAAAGACTTCAAACCTATGTTTCTAACAAACTGGACATTTTCACGAAAATTTCTTGATATAGCTTAATTTTTTTAGGACAGCTTCACAATGTATGTTCTTAGGGTTTCGCATGTATGAGCGACCACACCAATAGCAAAAGATGCCAGGTCAAGAGATAGATAAGTTTGAAAACAAGACATCGCTAACGAAAAGGATCTTCATAACTTTCACCACTCTCAAATGATTATAGAGTTCCCGTTGAAAAGTCACCAAGCTTACACCCAAAGAAAGTATGTAGCATCTTTCCTTTGACAGAGAGAAATTCCTTCCTTATATATGCGAAGTAAATGCCAAAAACTAAATTGGCTATCACAAATCTTTAATAACAAATATCTTCTTCATAATGTCATAGTTTAGTGAAACTTAATCTATCACTTCCAATGAGAAGTATATTATCAACATTTATAAAAATAATCAATGTGTCACAAAAAGAGTGTAGAATAAAGATAGAGCAATCAGCCATACTTCACAATCCAATGTCAATGAGAACCTTACAAAGTTTGTAAATTATGGGCAAGAACTTTACTTCAATTCATACATAACTTTTTGAAGCTTACATTTTTTGTTCTCCTCACAAGCAATATGCCTAGGAGGTAGCTTTATATTAACTGGTTCAATAAGATCTTCAAGGAAAAAAACACTGTTGGCATTCATTTGTATTATAGGCCCTCTTTGAATAATGACAATTGTTGGGGGTTCATTTATTGACCTCATTTTTAGTGCACATCCTTTGGAGCCTCCCTTCACATCTAGTGGGGTATTCCTTCACCAATCATAATAATCGTTAGCCTTAGGAGCTATTGATCGAGTCCAATGCTCGAGTCTTTTGTGTGACTACGTGCGACGATAGCTTAAATCACCCCTGGCCACCTCGATTCATCATCATGCTCGGAATTGGATTATGTAAGTTGCATTGCTTTCATCTCCATGTTAGAGGAGGCATGTGACGAGTGTGACGGTGAATTATTAAGTTTTCACATAGTTATGTGTAAAAAATAATCCCTTTTACATGAAATTTCTCCTACGTAAATTTTTTCCTCGAGATCTTGTTTGGCGAAATAGACTGCGCAAGCGTGTCAAGATCATTGAGACCTTTCATACGAGCCCATCCGCACTCAAATTGAGCTTCATTTGACATGCGTCGAGAGCTTAAGTAGATTATTTTTAAAATATTATACAATTATTTACTTATTAATCATATAAATTAATTTAAATACATATATGTATGACATTAATTTACATAGTATTTAAAATAATTACATTATGTTATATTTTAAATAATTTTATTTTTCTCTCTTATCCCACTCACATAAGATAGAAGAGAAAGAGAAAAATTTTGAGCTTCATTCACACTCACACCCACTCTCTCTCTCTCTCCTCTCTCTAAAATAAAGAAGTCCATGCTCTCACCAACCACTCCCTCTTATCCGCATAAAACAAAAGGAGAAAATGACAAATTTTGAACTTCCACTGGAATCTCTCTACACATTTCGTTTTTTTTAGTCCCTACTCTCTCTCACGCCTACACTGATGCTCCCAAAAAGACAAATAAAAAAAAAACCCACTTACACCTGATTTTCTCAGGCATAAAAGACCAAAACAACTACCTACTGTCTCTCTCTCCACAATAGCCACTCACAAGCCGAAGAACTAGAACTATCTTCTCCACAAGCTTTGAGATCTTCCTCTCCCCAATTCTATTCCTCTATCGCGCAAGCAGCCAGCCAATGGCTCATCGAGTTTAGCTTACATGTCATTTATCAAGTCAAACTCAAATCGGCCCACGAGTCAACTTGACTCTATTAAACTCTAATCGAGGCTGAAGGTGTAGAGGTACAAATAGAGGTGGATTTGTAAGAGATGAAGTGGGTGCAAAGTAAGAGATCTCATAAAAAGTAGCATCGATGGAGATAATTTTCCAGTAGAAATATTGTAATACTGATAATATTTTTTTAGTATGAGAATACACTGTAAAAGATTAAATAGTATAAGGGGATAGTTTTCCATGACTCGAGCAAAGGTCATGGGTGAAACACATGTAGCTGAAGATGCAAGGATAAGATTTATAGGGTTAGAATAGAGAATGTAGTAACATTGTTCAGAAAAATAAATAGCATGAGATTGATTAAATGGCATGTAGTAAGAATAGCATTGCACAAATTAGCAAGGAAAATGCATGTGAAACACCAAGATGTAAGAATTGTCAAGAAGATAGTGATGTTTGTGCTCATATATTGCGATGTATAAGAACATAAAGATAGAAGTATAATATCATTCTTGGTATAGAAATAGGGTCTTAATTTGAACAAATAATTGCACTTCTTTTCTATGTTGAAAAGTTTGAATACAAATAAGACATTAAGACCTCAAACAAACATCTCAACAAAAAAACCTAACCGGCCCTATTACGATCATCAATGAAGAAAATAAAATAACAAAAACATGTTAGAGTTAGCTGGGTCAAAAGGGGTCTACCATGAAAAGACATGGGAAAAGGTACATGATGACGTTTGTTAATCTCACATGTAACATACTCAAATTTTGGAATTGAGGATGGGACAAATATAAAACTCCAAAAAAATAATGAGGATGATGACCTAGACAATAGTGCTATTGATAAGGAAAAACATATTTGTTTCTGTTCATTAAAATTTGTTGTTAAACTCGTGCTTAAAGGCCTTTATTTTTTTTATTTTTTCCTCACACACAAAACATTCATAATTATATTAAGCCCCACACTACATTAAACATCTTTGAAAAAAATGAACAATCACTTGCATTGCATTTTGTGCTGGCATGATGCCTCTAAATATTGATTTGTGACATGAGGATGATGACCTGCAACACGAAGAACCTGAATGGGAGCAATTAATATTAGGAACATTGAAGCCATCTATCAATTGAGATTGCATACCATGCAAAAAAAGTTGTAAATCAGAGAGAAATTTGACAATAATAAAATCTTCATTCTACTTTTCCCAAGTAGTTACATTAGTAAAGGGGCAATACTGAAGTAAGTTGTCGAAAGTTGTTAAAGTATTATGGATATGCATATCATTTTTTTGCAAGTGAAAACATTTTATCATAAAGAGTGTAGACATAATAGATGTTATCTTCTAAAAGTATACTACAACAACAACAACATCAAGCCCTTATCCCACTATGTGAGGTCGATTACATGATTTTTTTTCTTCAATGTGTCATGTTAAGAGTATTTTCCAAGTATTTCTCTATTTCAGTTGGATTACATCAAGGATCAGGCTTAAGCGCATATCTTTTTGTTGTAGTCATGAATGTTCTCACTAGACATTTGCAAGATGATGTACCTTGGTGTATGTTTTTTGCTGATGATGTTCTTCTTGTTGATAAGACTAGAGAAGGAGTTGAAGGTAAACTTGAATTCTGAAACTCAACCTTAGAGTCTAAAGGTTTTCGCTTGAGTATATCTAAAATTGAATATATGGAGTGTAATTTTAGTAGTAATAGACATAGTTTGGGGATTATGACTTTGGACGATCAAGTCATTAATAAGAGTACACGTTTTAGATATCTTGGATAGAGTGATGGTGA